GTTGAATTTAATAATTTGAATAGGTTTACTGGTTATATTAACGTTGTTGAATGAATCGGCGAGTCGACTATATCTGTGAAAGCGTGTATGAATGATTAATCAACAAACTGATCGTCCATTTAAGCAGACTTTTATGATCAGGCTGATTCTATTCTAATTTAGATCCGCTGTATTACCGTACTGATCAAAGTTAATATCGATAGTTGCAATTTAATGAGCGTAAATTTGCCACTTTTTTTGATGCAATATTTACCTTGAAGAATGTTTGATTTTTTTTAGTCACAGTAACTCAGTCTCTCTTTTAAACGAGTATATATTTGTTTACGTAGGATATAATGTGACCGAATTCTAAGCCATTTGTTTACGGTTGCGCAATTGACTTCACGATTACTGTCCTTATCATCGAAGATAAATGTTCGCTGATAAATTTTCCGTGCTTGATAATACCGGGACTTAGGAAGATCTTTCAAGTGTTTTTTTTTATAATGTGTGATTTTAAATCAATGCATTAGGTTATCATGCAAGGAACTGAAAGTCCAGAAAAAGCTTTCAATATATATTATTATAAATAATACCTATATGTAAAAATTCTCATTTATGCTAATATTTCTAGATACATTTATTGCATTCGGCAATGAGTTCCTTTGCTTATTTTAGGTTAATGATCGTTTTTAAAAACTAATTTAACTCTCCATCAGTAAAATTCTCGAACTGACAACAAATATTTTAACTGTGCTTTAAAACTTATGTGTAGGTGTGAAACTTGCTTCTTCTCAGACACAGCTAATGTATATCAATAATAGCTTCTAACTTCTAGAATTTGCATTAACTCATGCCCGCCGATGGTGAACTGAGTGGTTGTGACCCTATAAACGTTGATACTTTGGTCCTCGGATTACTGCTAAGAACTAATGCATGCCTAATGCTCCATCAACTTCCATAATCCACTTGCAATAAAACCGTTAATAGGATTTCGTGCTCGCGAAACTCATTGTTTGAGTCCGGCTCGTAAAATTATCATGGAGTGTTTGTAACACTCGCAACTCGCGAGTGTTTGATCTTGCTAAGCGATAGCCTCGCATTATGTTAATGCACTAGACGTGTTTGTACGACGACGACGCCCCTCTTGAGCTTGTTTGTCGGGACTGAATATCGCTGAATACTAATATAACGGGCTACTAATATTGTATAATATATATTAGGTATGTAATATAATATCGCTCCTTATAACTGGTCAGGCCTGGGGTCTGTTGTCGCGGTTGTAGAGCTCCTTCTTACTGGACGCTCAGAAAAAAATTTGTCATGTTGTGCAAATATTAACACACTTTATGCTCGTAGCACTGATACGTCATTTTGCCGGTTCAAACTGGGTCAGGTTGCTCCACATAAAGGCAAAATGCATCGTTATTTTGGCTAAGTCTAACGTTCTTCTCGGATTAAAGGTCATATTTCCAGAGGTTCAGGAGGACTTGAAAGTTTAGAAAAGGCACATACTTGCATAACTTGTAAATAATTATTTTTCTTGTGTCTGCTTTTAAATTGGTATCGAAACAACCATTTACATGAGAATGGATGGAATCGTTCCAAGCTTGAGTGCAAAACTCGTTAGCACGTCACTGCTTTTTTTCGCGAAAGCAGTACTAAGAAATGATAATATTGTCTTTCGAACCTTGAATTACATTATCTTATGCTATTTGATCCATAAATATAATATCATGTCCTGTTACATTTAATATAAACTTAGACACACACGTAAGCATGTGAGGGCTTTGCGCGGAAATTGAACAGGGAAGACGGCCAGTGTGTGGTGACAACCGCATATTGCTGGCAGATTCCTTCCGGCCGCACGTGACGACTCGCGCGAACAGAGAAAGCAAAGCCGTGATGAAAAAAAAGTGCAGGGCTCTGCCATCTGACACTAACGCTGCTGGTGCACCATCAGTGCAGGGCTCTGCCATCTGACACTAACGCTGCTGGTGCACCATCAGTGCAGCGCCCTGCCATCTGACACTAACGCTGCTGGTGCACCATCATGCAGTGCACCGCACTGCCGTCTGACACTAACGCTGCTGGTGCATCATCATTGTAGCTTCTTGCGGCTGACGCTACCGCTACACCTCAAGGCAGTGCACCGATTTTTTACGTCAATGGTACTATTAAACAGCGCAATTCACGGCCATATGTGAGGCTGACGCTACCGCCACACCGCTGCATGTGCAATGTCCCGCCTCTAGACGCTACTGAGTCACAGATAATTGGCACTGAACTCACTCGCGGCTCAAATTTCCTGCTCTGTTATATATGTGGTCATAATCGTAACCATAAATAACTCACGAGAGGCAAGATCGTAGAAATCACTTGAAAACTTTTGATGCCCGAAATTGTTTGAGTATCAATGGGAATTAAACTGGGCAATTAGAGCAATGCTTTGAATCATCTCAAGCAGCCATTTTTAATTGCTCGGGTTCACATTATTCACCTCGATCATAAAGTCATCTCGCTCTCGTGCCTCATGCAGATTCATGACGTAGACCGAGCAGGTTCGCATGTGTCGTAAATAGCTTGCGTCGCTGCCCACAAACTCCAGCAGATCGATGAGTGAACTTCTTCTCGGGGCCACAAGCTTCCCGTGACGTCAAATTTTAATTTATCGTAATATTTTTATTTTTCCGTAAGCATTTCGATCAAAAATTAAATGACATTCATAAATTGCTTGAAATTGCCCTGAAACGGATTTATTGAATTTTTATTGTAGATGCAATCCTATGCAGCATCAGTGTGTCGATTGAAATCATGTCGGAATGAATGCAGTCACAGAACTAAGGCTCTTAAACTTTAATCTATTGATGTCACATTTGACATAATTTTGTTTAGTTTGTTATCTACCCTCAAATCGTTTGATTATTATAATAAAATTAAAGCACGAATTAAAAAAATATAGACTGTTCCTAATAAAATATCTAGTTTAGAATTAATTTTCTACGTCATAAACTTAATAGAAGCGAGTATTTGTTCAGGTACCCATATCTGATTTCACTCATTAGGTATTATTAGTTGATATTAATGAGCTTGTTGAACCTGCTTACTTTTTGAACTTGCTTTAAAATTCTTAATTAACTTGCAATTTTGGCAGGCTAATGATATAGCTACTATAATATTCTTACGGCCTCGATCAGATCGACCTTTGCTAGCTCCCGCGGGCGACCTTGTGTTGCACCGCCGCGTGCTGCATGCGGACGCCTGCTCTTGGCAAGCTGCCGTCAAATATTGCGACGCGCGTTCGAGGCCTTCTTCGGAAAACTGTGCCTCTTTAGGAAATTTGATGATCGTCTAATGAGTTTTGTTCCTTAAAATGAATTAATTGATTATCTGAAATTAGTGATAAATGATGCCTGAAGATAATGTCAGTGGAATTGGCCCTACTCTTATGAAAAAAATGTGAGATTATTCAATTGATATTTGTGTTGAATGACGCCTGAAGACAATATATATATATATATATATTGCTCTATGCAGATGTTATTAAAATGCACATTACTTATCATCCTCTACAAAATTAGTTACCAGAAATTTTTGTCGTCAATACTACCTCATAACCGGGCGATGTATTTAGTTCATTGCGCATTCATTCATAACAACAGCGCCACGTCATTTTGGTACCGCTAATTCTATCGCTGAATGATGCAGTATCTTATCAGGAGCTCGAAGTAGAGTTGACACAAACTGGATTCACTTCTTAAATGACGCGCACTTAAAATCAATGTCGCCATTATTTACGAGCTGGGTTTTTGCGGTAATCTCGTGAGGTGCCAAACGCTGCTGTGGGTTCTCTTTATTTATGATTGCGTTTTTTCGTTCCTGTTCGGGGTATTCCCGGTGCTGGTGATTGCTGAGCCGCCACTGCAGGAAATGACTTGCCAGGTACACCGTGCCAGCCAGCGCACCACCCCTAGCGCCGCCAGATGAAGCCACATGTATGCCTATAAATCTTGATTATTCCCAGAAAATGTGGTGATGAGGGCTGCGGGAAATAGTTATGCTGCTTGGAAAAGATTCTAAAGCATCAGAAGCTATACTAAATGTAAATGTGAAGGTTTTTAGTAAATATGAATCTCTATTGAACATTCACTCATCTCAACATAATCTGTATTATAAACATGTACCAGAGGTATCGTTAAGCACAGAATGAAAAAATCACTATTCAATTAATTTAACCTTTTAAATAAGGTCAACTTGATGTGTCATTGATTCTGTTGTTTTGTACGGTTTCAAAATCAGCTCGTCATGCATTCGACCTCTATTGTGTCTTTCTTTTTGGAACATTTCAAGAACATGTCAAAATGTTAAGCTTTCTTCAATTTTATTTTAATCGCAACTGCTGTCTTCCTTGATGTACGAGCCAAAATTACCATAGGAAGTGTCGCTGATCATATTCTGCATTATTTTCATTTACTCCTACATGACACAATAACAACCAATTGCCTTATTGTCTCTAGTTTTCACTTTACTGCTGTATTCTTGCGTCGCTTTAGTTGTCTACCGGATTATCACTCGCGTGTTAATGACTTGTTGAACTGTGCTATTATTTATTCCTTAAGATAAATAATTGTCCTGCTAGGCCTCATATAAATGGGGTATGTGGGTGCATCCAATATGTGCCTTTCTTTATGTGTGTTGTTTGTGTGAAGTGTAATTTTCTCACCTTTATGGAAAAAAGGCGCTATTGTGCTCGTCATGTCCATCCGTCCGTCCGTCCGTGACTTCACATGGTTTCGACAATTTTACGAATACTTTGAAATCGACTGATTTATGTAGGAGAAAATGCGCTCTCTGTCACTCACTACAGTGAGTACTGATCTAATTTTTTATTAAAGTGTGTTCCTTCTCTACAGCCGCGTCTGTCTTAAAGTGTATTCTTTGTCAGCAGTTCGTGCTTATCTTTTAATTGTATTACTAGTGTAAAAATGCGTGCCATTTTAAAGTGAGTTTTTTGTGTTCAGGACAACGTGCGGGTGGCTCAGGACAACGACCACACGAGCAGCACCTCGCAAGAGACTCATCAACAGCAGCAACTCCTGAAACAGAGTCAACAAATCACATCATCGTGTCAACAGCAGCAGACACAAGACCAGCTTCAGCAACACTCCGTCTCTATGTCCAATCTGAGCAAACTCAAGTCTTCCATGTCTGAAATGAAGTCCAGCATTGATGAGATGACCTCGGTGGGTGGTCTATAGGACTACAAATACATAAATTCTATAAGCCTCTGAATTCTGACAATACTCGTTAAATCTTGATATTATCGTATCTATTAATGGTACATTTATTCAACATTCAACATATTGGTGCCAACATTGATCACGAGTTTGAATCGATATAAAACAATCATATTGGATGTTCTCTTGGTTTTGTGATTAACTAACAAACAAATTTTATAGTTGTACATCATAACTACATTCTTGGCCGCTGGCCTTAACCTTAGCGTCCATTGCATCATGCGCTAATATAAGAACAATTTTTCCGCGACGCAACAAGTAGGAAGAGCTTAAGAGATAATTAGCACTTCATCAGAGAGGCGTATTTTATTTCTCTGTGGTTACTGAAGAAAGGAAGAAAGACATGCCAGCTCCGTGGGATATAGTGAGCTTACCAGAAAGCTCTTGGCAGCGCATATTGGTTCACGTCATCGCCGCCTTAAGGGTTGCAGCTTCGACGCTCAGTGTAGTTCGCCACGAGCTGTGCCTGCATCGTCGTCATTTCGGCGCGATGCTTGTGCAGTGATCGTGTAATAGCACCTCGCGCTCAGGGCATCGCTTTCGTCTTTTGATTTTGGCATTCGTATCTCGCCGGGCACTGAGTTCGTATCTCTGGTTCTGGACATCGATAGGTGGTGCGACTTTCAAGCATGTTTTGGTTCACGATCACCAGGATCACAGGTTTCGCCGATCACGTAATTCACTGACGGGATTCGCGACTAATGTTAGATAAGTGTATAGGCACGTGGGGTGGTTCAAGTGACTTGTAATGCCTCATTTATAGTCCAACATTCGAATTCACGACAGTGACCGAAAAATTTTATTGATACTATTTCTAACCTTGGTCAAGACCTTGACCTTGAAATTTAATTGAAAACTGACCGTTATTAGACATTTTCTAGCAATCATCCCGCGTTAATAGTTTTCATATTTGAACAGATGCAGATTGGAGAAGAATAGAAATATGTTGTCTTTTTGCTTGTAACTTCAGTCCTTGAACTTCAATCTTGATCGTTTTGCCCATTTTGGTTAACAGGATTTTCCGTTCCGGTTGTCTCCCACACACCATCACAATTTTTCTGAACTCATACTGTGAAATAATTTTTATAATTAATGCAAATTCTAACTTTGAAATTTCATCTTAGCGAACCGTTGGATGTAGCCGTGCGTGGTGAGTGAAGTTTTTCTTCCTCCTTTCTTTCATTTTTCGTTTATTTTGTGACGTAAAACGCGATTATTCCGAACTTTTCTATTGCACGCATCTCCTGCTTTGTAATTTATCGACGCAAAAATAGTTTGTAAATAATTAGAACTGATTTCCTAGTCTTTATGTTGAACTTAAAGTTCCAATTCGAATTTAGTGAAACGGAAAAGATGGCCCCAGTCTCTTCAGTTCACGCTGGAAAATTTGTGTTAACCTAAGTAGAAATATAAAAGAATAATTATTGTTTATTGACAATTATGATGAACATTAATTTAAATATTTTTACAGTTAACGGCCATAATTTTATGAACTTATCACAGTTTAGAGTTAACATAAAAAGGTACGATAATGTACTCACAAGGAGACATTGCGGGTTGATAACTATTAAAAAAAGGTGTACACTTCGTCTAAATTCTAAATTGAAAATAAAAAGATGAAAAAATTTTAGCAATTAACTCTTTCCCAACAACAATTTTTTACGGAACAGCCAATCGCTATTGTATCGATAATGGCTTTTTTGCTTTGGTTCCAGTGTAAATTCGCTCTAAATACGATGTCGTCTCTTTGTCTTTATTAACATAAATTAATTTTTCCAGAGTAACAGCGCCTTCAGCTGCTCATCAAACATCCAGCAAGCCTCCAGCTCAGTCCAGTCGTCTAGCCAGTCCAAAATACAGTCCTCGAGCCAATCTGCTTTAAGTTCGTCAAATCTGAAAGCATCTCAGTCCACAACGGCTCTGAAATCTTCAAATATCTCCTCCTCTTCATCCAAGTCTGTCGAATCCAAATCCATAAATGCTCTTCAGTCAAATTTTAAGAATTTCGGTTCATCTGAAAAACTTGCTGAATTTGGCTTGAGTAAAGATAAATTTGCGCTTCAAAATGACCAGTTCGACGAGAACCAACTTATAGAATTCAAGGACCCGGGAGAGCTGCTGCTGCAGGACTCCGAAGGACTTCTGGCTGACTGCGACCAACCGCAGCTTGACCAGCTGGGCTCCTCCTCTGGCATCAACGGCGCCGGGGTCACCACCTTCGAGCAGAAGAAAGTCACGTCCAGCTCTAAAAGAAAGGTATTATTGCCTTACATTATTTTTGGGTAGTATTTAATGATGGTGCTTTGTGGCACAAAGGTAGATTTTCCTGTATAGATCAGAGATTTATTTGTTGTCATGTCGAGCTCTAAAAGAAAGGTATTATTGTCTTACATTATTTTTGGGGAGTATTTAATGATGGTGCTTTGTGGCACAAAGGTAGATTTTCCTGTATAGATCAGAGATTTATTGGTTGTCATGTCGAGCTCTAAAAGAAAGGTATTATTGCCTTACATTATTTTGTATATGTATTGAATGATGGTTTTTTGTGGCAGATAAGTAGATTTTTCTGTGTAGATCAGATAGAGAGCTATAAAAGAGACGTTTTATTCTATTAATTTTTTAGAATAACTGGAAGATAATATTTCGTGGGTGAAATGTATAATCCAGGGAAGGAATAGTTTTATTTTGTGGAAGAAGTTATAGTTTCGTTGAAAAGAAAGGCTGGATTTCGTAGGTGAAAGATTTTATTTCCTGTATAAATCAGAGTTTTCTCCGTTCTCGCGTTGAGTTATGAAAGAAGAGATAGTATTCTCTAAAATTTCTTGAGCGCATTTAAATATTTTGTTAAGGAGAGGTATAATTTCGTGGAGAAGAAAGGTTGAATTACGTGGGTAAAGTATTATTTCATTTATAAATGAGGAGATTTCTCCGTTGGCATGCCGAGCTATTAAAAGTATTGTTCTCTAAACTATTTTATGGGAGTATCGAAATTTCGTGGGTGAAAAATACCATTTTATGTAAAAATTAGAGGGATTTCTTAGTTGTCACAAACTTAGACAGAAAAAATGGAAAAATTCAAAATTATTCACTCTTCCTGAAATTTTTAAAAGGGAATTAAAGCACTAAAGTTTTGTACACGCAGCATGCATGTGTAAGGTTTATAGTGAATTCGAATTTACCTATATACAGCGAATTGAGTTCTAAAGTTTCGGCCATAGCATCGATAATGTGTCTAAAATGTTTGTCTATAGCATCAATCTTCGCGGTATTTATCTAATCAAATGCCGAATGTAAGCCGGCTTTTTCTGAACTTTATTCTTCTTTATTGTTAATTAATGATTTCTATTGTAAATTAATTTTTTATTGTTAATTTAACACTTTTATTGGCTGATTCTAACCTTATAATACCCGATTAATCCTGTAGCCCAAGATTACGAAGATAAATTTGTCTTCAAACAATGCAAATTACTAATTCATTATTATTTTCACCATTTCGTTATCCGGACCCTAATTGCGAGTACTTCTGTATGCCGCTTTCATTTATATATCAAGTAACCTCGTGCAAAAAATTATTCAGTAATCCCGAATCTTACTTCCATGGGTTACTTTGATGTATTCTGCAGCTTTTTTTCTTAAACTGAAATTATCTTCGTATTGAATTACTTCAGACTTTTTGACATTTTATCGACGGATGCATTAAATTTAGCCAATAAATTTAGTCTCGTATATGTAGAGATCAGAAGTTAAATCCTTTTTCGCATAATTATTTAAGAATAAAAGTAATTAATGTTGTTAATGCTGTATAATTAATTAACAAAGTTGAATTTTGTTTGTTCCTTGACGCAGATTGCTTCATTATATAAACATGATACTATTAATTACCATTGGTAGGTTAATCAATAATTTTGAATTATTTATCTTCGTTAACACAATTTGCTCCATTATTAAGGCTTGAAATTATATCTTTAAATTAATTAATAACTTTGAACCTTGTTTGTAGATGCAACTGACTTCATTTTATAATAATAAGATCATTGAATATTATTGAATTAATTATTAGCACTGCATTATGTTGGTTCGTTAGGTTACAACGGATAACAACTGCTTCGAGTCAGCGTCCGGGTCGTCGAGTCAGTCAACGCGCGTGCAGGCCGGCGACGTAACCTACTCGGAGTGTCAGCAGCAGGCCGCCGCCCGCAGCAAGATGGAGAAGGATGGTGTCACTGAGGAGAAAGAGGCCGCATTACAACAGGTCTGTTAATACCATTCAATTTCTTTTGTATTTATATACTTTACTTCTTTTTAGCGTTTGAAAGTGATCTAGTAATATTTGAGTCAAGCTCAGGACAGGAACGTTCTTTATCAGATGTAAGTGTGGTCATCAAAACTAGAAAAGGAAAAAATTTTGTCGAGAGTGTTCAAAGACGTGCAACAAGGATAATTCCGGGATTAAAAGGCAAGCCTTATGAAGAAAGATTAAAGATTATGAAGCCTCCAAGCCTCCGTTATCGACGTCTGCGTGGGGACCTCATTGAAGTATACAAGTATACTCATGGCTTATACAAGGTCCCAGAAGGATTACTAGAATTTGAAACAAGAACCAACGCCAGGGGCCACGGCTATAAACTAAAAAAAACTGCGTTGTAACACATCCATGCGACAACATTTCTTCTCGCTTCGAGTCACCGACATGTGGAACAGCCTCCCTGATAGCATCATTGACGCTCCGAGTATGAACGCCTTCAAGAACAGACTGGACGAAGCTATGCAGGAGCATATGTACAGTCTTAAAATGCCCAGCAAATTACGGACCAGGCAATAAGTCCAGCAGCTATCTCAATCAATCGTCAGTTATGGAAAGAGATCGGGTTACAAAGACCGGATCCCTTGTGAATCAAGTCACGAAAAGTTCAAGAATCGGCCACAGGCCATGGGCCTATTTCTTCAGTGCCGACATTTCTCTTCTATTCTAATACCTTTGAAAATGGTTGCTGTTCCTGTAGAAATGAAGTTTTTTTTCTAACCATCCCTGTTGACTTTCTAGCGCCTGCTCAAACTGTTAGAAATCGAGTTAAACAGGATCTGACAGAACAGGAAGTCATTCTGCCTGCCGATGCAAACGCTTAATGTGGATTCCCGTTGGTGGCTTAATCTCAAAACAGTTTTTCACAATGAGAACTGCTTCATATTTTTTCTTCAAGTTGCTGGATTTTCACTCGTTAATACAACGCTGTTCTTACCTAGATTGTGAAAATCTCTTGTTATTAAAAGTGTTGTTAGGCTTGTGTGTGACAGTACGCCTAAATTGATGCTGAGTAGTACCTTTATACAATATCAAGTTAACTAAACAGATCAATAGTTCTTGAACTAATAATTCCTGTGAGATTATTAAATATTTCCCGGTTCATTGCTGTCTTTGAATACTGAGCCTCATCCTATGATGAGGCTCATAGTCGTATAATGAGCTTCTGATATTGATGTGTCTGTCCGGTGAGTTAGTAAGTAATTCATATAGGCAGTGCAGCAGATGTGCGTAGTGGTAATGTATACATTTCTTTAGCGATAAATTTAATTTTTCATAAATATTTTAACGATATTTTGCCTGCCCAATGGGCTGCAATTGTCTGGCCAGAGCTGCTATACATTCATATGTTGCCAGCTCTTTGCAAATGACGCTTCAATTCAAGTGTCCAAACATTTTAATTTAAGCGTAGCTTCACAGTGCATTTAAATAATCATTCTGAAGTCATCATCGGGAAAGTTTTTTATCATCTTGAGCAATCAATCCTGATCAACTTAACTCTTCTAAACTAAACATAGATTGTAAGAAGATCGGCGCAACTGAAAGACCGAGAAGTCAACAATTTAAGAAGAAGTGGTTTCGTTAAAAAATGAAAGTGAAGTGTCGACAAGTCAATGATTTTCGAATAACTCGATCCGTAAAAGGGTGATTGTAACTGAAGTGTCGAAAAGTCTACGATTTTTTTTTTTTTGAATAACTGGATACGTAAAATGGGCATTGTAATTGAAGGGAAGAAGTTGATGATTTAAATTTCTAAAAAATTGTGGACTAGGGTGCCTTGCGAAGTGTTACGCATCTTCTGCATGCGCCTCTTCTTACGTTGAAGCTTCCATTACAAGAGGTTTACATTACTGATGTAATGGAATTACTTGGTGCGCGTTCGTTGTCCGTCACGATTAATAGTTAAATTCGTCATAGTTCCATTTCGCGAGTTGCAAAATTTTGCATTGTAATCTATATATCATTATAATTTATTGATAGGAATATTATATCAATAATATCGAACGCGTGTCAGATTATATTGCATTTTGTGTTAGTTTTAATCGAGCATTAGTTACATGTTGCATTCTGATAATTTTTTTCCAATACTGAATGACGGACGGCGTTGAACTTTCGTCTTCAGCCAACGTCTTTACTCATGTTTTTTTAATAGATTGCTTATTATTGCTCGAATATTTGTATTGCTATCGTTGATTGCTCAAGTGTAAATAAGGTGGCTAAATTCTATTGCTATCTTGTTTTAATTGGATAAACTAAATAATTTCGATTTACCTGCTGACCTAACAACCATCACAGAACAAAATGTTTTAATTCTTCCTAAAATATGTCTTCTTCACATACGTAACAACAGCGTTTATTGTGTTGAATATCCGACAATGAATTTCGTCAGCCGGACTAATGAATTCCGTCAGCCGTACTAATGAATTCCGTCAGCCGTAGCAATGAATTCCATCAGCCGTACCAATGAATTCCGTCAGCCGTACTAATGAATTCCGTCCGCCGTACCAATGAATTCCGTCAGCCGTAGCAATGAATTCCGTTAGCCGTACTAATGAATTCCGTCAGCCGTACCAATGAATTCCGTCTGCCGTACTAATGAATTCCGTCAGCCGTACAAATGAATTCCGTCAGCCGTACTAATGAATTCCGTCAGCCGTGATGACGACTGACATCCTTACTTCCATTACGGTAATTGTTTTTTACTTGTCCCTGGGATGGCTTGCAAATAATGATCGTACTTATACTACGGTAACTCAGTTATTTCTTGTTCGACTTGGACGGCACAGAATATTGAAATAAGTTTTGTTGATGCAGTCAGTTCCCAAGTATGAGTCCGTGACCTACAAATCTTAAGCTCATCGTCAGTTTTATTGCCGAGCGTATCTTATTTTTGGCTGCTGTGCGTCTGTCACTGAGCTTGTTGCAGATTCCGCTGACATTGTTTTCATGCCAAAGGTCGTGTCTTGCAATGAACTGCCATCTTGATTTGCGATGCTATGAACGAGATTGAATTTGTGGTAGGAAGAAACTTAATTATCGCTTAGTGCTTTGAAACGCTAACTTTATATATTTTGCCGAAGCTGCTAATTCCACGTAGTTTGCTTCCCGCATACGAGCAATAAAATTTCTATTTAACTATGTATTTTAAACTCAATAAAAACTACTGAAAACTAGCGAAACAGATGTCGAAAACAAGTATTACTATTATTCAGGAAGTTTCATCTAATTGTTTTAAATTTAATGATTTCAAACCTATTGGCAGTTTGGCACTGAAGGAAAAAATTAGAACAAAAACATTAATTTTCTTACATGAATTACCAGATATGCACTTATCAAATTCTAACCAAAGTAGTTTAGGTTCACGAAACACTGTATGAGGCTTACTGCTAATAACTAATATCGCATTATTCTTGTATTCCGCAACTAATATCGCATTATTCTTGTATTCCGCAACTAATATAAGTATATATCACTATTATTCGCATTATTCATTATGTACAAGACACAACACCCCGGGCCAGCGCAGTGCCCCGCGATCGCGCAGTGCGCCCTCGATACCCAAGCTATTCCTGCGCCGCCTACGACCTTATACTGTCCGAACGCCGTGATGGATGAAGACGGTCGAGTTCATTGAGATGTTGGAGTTACGGTGAAAGTTTTGCTGCGGATTTTGGAGTTCGTATGAAAGTTTAGATGATGTTAGAATACGAATGAAGGAGGTGGAGCTAAGATGAAAATTCTGATGCGGGTGTTGGAGTTCGTATGAAAATTTAAATGATGTTGGTGGAAATCGTGGAATGTGGGTGGAAGTGGGGAGGTGGTGGAGTATGATTTATGGTTTTGGATGTCACATGAAAGTTCAAATGGAGGTGTTGGGAAGGAAGTCGGGGTGTTGAAGAAAAACTAATCAAAGCTTTGAATTGCGAATGAAGGTGTCAAAATTAGCATGAATTTGCTGGAGTTTTCCTGATTGCGCTTGATTTTACCCGAAGATATTGGAGGTTGTATGAAGGTATTTAAGTTCGCATGAAGATATTGGGAGTTCGGATGAAGGCGTTGGGAGTTCGGATGTTGGTATTTTAGTACAGTACTATAGATGTTAACAAGTGCAACTTGCCAACTCTTCTTCAACTCACGTTTACGACTAATCTAAAAATGCGGTCGGAAGTCTCATTTAATTTTTCTAGTCTTTTTGCTGTAAAATTTTTTTAAAATCTCGTATTAAATCGCAAAGAACGATGATTTTTTTTCGTTTTTCTCATCATCTGTGTCTGCTTTATTGGTGCTTTCTTCATAATTAACTTCAGTTAACGTGTTCAGTTAGTAATCTCAAGTTCATTACTCCCGTCTGGTCACGATGAGTGAAAACATTGCACCATTTTTTCACTCGTCGCAATGACGAAGTTCAAAATAGCATGGTTAGTGCCGTGACCTTGTCATGCGCACCTGCAGTGCGCATGTGGCGACCGCCGCGTGTTCTGCCGACGTGCAGTCGAGTGTTGGACGTATGCCGGGGAGGTTGTGTGCGTTGCGAGGCTCCGTCTTCCTGCATGGGTCAGGGCCGTACGATGATGAAATGCGCAGCTTATTAGTAAGGCATGCTACCTTCCGCGTCGTGAGCCATTTCCGAATACCGTAATAATCGCGACTGTGATTCAATCAGAATACTTGAAAACAATTCTGTAGCGTGTGTTTGTACGAAATTGTGTTTGGGGAAAGTTAGTCTTATTTATGAAATAATTGAACGATTTTAATTAACATTTGATAAGCGTTAATAAGACGATCATTAAATTTCATCAAATCATCTCAGTCACGAATGACTTGAACTCAGACTGCTATGATGTGGGGTATTGTATGCGACTTTATTCGACGCTTAGCCATGGTATATCGAAGCCTGATGAGCAGGCTTATTGAATAAGCTGCGCTTTATTCGTTGTAACTATATATCCATTAATGTAGGAGGTTACAAGCATGCACGTACTCTAGTTGTAAGCGAAAATATTTTCTAGATATATTGTTTACTCACAAAACTTTTAATTTCTATTTAACAGGAGCCTTCACTAATTACTATCTCGTAACCATCGATCTTACTCTAATTTGCTATTTCTTGCTTCGCATGATTGAGTCAGGTATTAAATTTTAAATTTGAATAATTCTGTAGGATATTAGATTTGCATTTGAACAATCGATTTGTATTTGAACGATCAACTTTGGGTATAAAATTTATATATGTATCCATCATAGCGGCAAATATATGAAGAGTCGGCAGAATAGAGTGGAGATGAGGCACTGGTCGCCCCCGACACCAACACTGTAACGGACGCAACTTTACTTCCGCTCTCTTCAAGTTCCGCTGCTCTAGCAGCTCATGTGATCGACACGCTGAATGTCTTGTTTGTGAATGTAAAAATATTAATAGCAGGAATCAAAATATTTTCAGTGAACTTAGTGTTCGCTACTTTTATTTGAACATAAATAAAAATGTTTTTACAATGTGAAAACGTACGATTTTATCATGAACTTCACTATATATTTAATAATAATCACCCATTGTCTAAATCGTCCAAAAAATTACATACGTCTGCTGGATACAAATGATATCGTTCTGTTATCGTCACCGTAGATCCTTGTTTGTGACTCGTGTAGCGGTACCGTACATCCGTATTTGTAACTCCTGCTTTGCGGAAGCACGCGATGTCCGGCTTGCTCAAGAAGTCATGTCCATTAAAGGCAGCACCGCTATGGATGAGTCACTCGGGGGTTCCTCCTAGAGCGATTGTTGTGTAACACGCTCACTATGTCACCGTTAACTCTGGCGTCACTGTAGTAAACTTGTTGAATATTTTAATAATTAAATAATATAGTTGCGAACAGCGATTGTTGTGTAACGCGCTCACTATCACCGTTGACTCAGGCGTTACTATAATAAACTTAATAAATATTTTAATAATGAAAGAAATAATTGCGAACAGCGATTGTTGTGTAACGCGCTCACTATATCACCGTTAACTCAGGCGTTACTATAATAAACTTAATAAAGACTTTAATAATTAAATAATATAATTGCGAACAGCTATTATTGTGTAACACGCTCACTATCACCGTTGACTCAGGCGTCACTGTAATCAACTTATTAAATATAACTAAATAAATAAACTATGAAGATACGGATAGCGATTGTTGGATTGCTCTCTTACTATAACATTAAATCGGATTTCACTGTAATATATTCATTAATATCTTAATGATGAAATGATATTACTGCAAAAAAATGCCAAACTGTTAATAATAGTGTCTGAATTCACAAACTGCATAGAAGCTGGAAGTTTATCGTTTGAACATTTTTTAAAAATGCCTCATACTTAAATTCGAATAATAGTGTCAACGAATAGAATAGAATTACAGTATCATATATCATTATTGTCAGCGCAAATCAAACGATCACATTTGCCTTTAAAGTGTTACAAACCACGGTGATTTTCAGCTTACTCCGTGATATATTCAGACACTGTTCTCATACTACCGTTACATACTTGTAGCAATGGTTGTTATGATGGACCGCCTCTAGCAGGGAGAAGGTGTGTAGGTTTACTGTGAAGGCCACAGAAAGTCTGTCTCTTCCTGTTCAGTGCCGGCCCTGCTGGCTGCCTCAGCGCATTACTGTTCACTCGCTCGCTGATGGTGGTTGTTACGACGCTAACTCCTTGATTCATGGCCGCGTATTTGCAAAATTTTGTTTTTAAAAAGCATTGATTTGCCATCTCCATATTTTTTTAACGCAATAACTTCAAGTCGAAATTTTGGAAAAAATTGAAAAAATTTTCATAATAGTCTGATAATATTTGTTATAAAAGTGTTTATTGTGTTGTAAAATATTTTCAAAGTCGCAATTCAGTGAAAAATATCCTCACATTTTTCTTAACTACTTGTTTGTGTATGTCTGATTTATTCTTGTTGACTTTCAAGTGTTGTGCATCTTTTACAATTGAAGTCCCTTGTTTCAGGTATTTACATGAATGTTTTTACGTGTAGACTTTACCATTTAAGAAAATAAGGATGAAATAGAATGAAGTTCAACGAAAGTGTGTGAATTAGATCAACGCCGACGTGTAAATTACTCCATAAGTGAATTATTTTTTGGGGTATTGATAAATGGCTTAATTATCTAGTGATGCCGACTGTTGCAGGCACATGTGATATTACCTACCATTTATGCCTTGCATGTCATCACCCTCACCATATTCGCATTGTGGATATCGAACCTTCCTCCAGCATGCTTTTCCCTGCTAGCTACTTTAGTTACTGCCATCCCTGCTACTGTGCCACTTCTTTCGGTGCCCGTGACGCCGAAGAAAGATCGGTGTTTGACCAAACCAAATGCCGCAAGAACAATGCTATAGTGAGATGTGCTTGCATCGAGAAATCTAATCCTGTCGGTTCACAGAGCGTGGGTCCATCGAATAGATCACTCATTGAGAATTGTTCAAGACGTCAAAGTTCTCACTGCGTTTCGTTGTGTGTTTGTCGGTCATGCTTCGACTGTTTGCAAGCAAATAAGCATGAGTCAACTAACAACATAGAAGATCACACAAATAATCGTTTCTTTGAGCGTTGTTCGTGTAGTCGAAGTTGTTCGCACGATCGACGCAATAACAGGAACTCTTTTCTATTAAATCATAACGATCAGTCGGGAAATTCATCTGAAAGACAAGATTTAATTATTCCATCTACTGAAGAAACACGACGGCCGCGTCGCAAGAGCAGCGTTCCTGGGTCTCGGCGCAAGCGTTCATCCATATCAACCAGCAGCTCTGCTCACAAAATCAGTAAAACCAACAATACCAATGCTGGTAATAATGCTGCCACCACCCCGACAAACCTCGGCAACCTAATGCCTACTGTTGGGTGTCATTGCTCGCACTGTATCAAGATTTTTGGAAACCGATCACAAAATTCAATAAGGAAAAAGAGTCGAATGAAGCTGCAACAGCAGCTGCAACAACAATTACAGTGGTTACTTATGCAGCAGCAACAGTTGCAACAACAGCAACATGAGCGATTGTCACAAGAAAACGATAACCAGTCAGAACAGACATTACTACCGAAGAGTTACGGAGTTCTTGACTTGGAAATGGATGATAAAGATAAAGTTTCAAATTCCTCTTCACGAAAAACTTCAACAGACTCAGCAGTTTCTACTACGACTCCCGAATCTCTGGTGCCCGAATCTCCTGAAGATCGACGTCTCTTAGGCCTTCCCGATTCTTGCACAACTCTCGGAAACAAAGATCCCAATGAATCTATTGTTTCGTTGAGTTCTTCTCCTCCTGTTTTAAGTAACAGCAAGATTTCGGGTCGGACTCCTACTGCCAGCCAAATCAACCGACGGAATAAAAACAAAGAAAACACTAGAAATTTTAAAAAGCTCTCAGTTGAGACTGGCTTGAAGCCTGGATCCAGATCATTCAGAGTTAATTCTATTCTAAACGACGCCAATGAAGGCTGCAAGTCATCGAATATCTCCACTACGACAGTTCTGACTTCACCACCACACATCGACACATCTCAACACCGGACATGTGTTACGGATTCATGTCTGTCGTCTATGTCCTCTCAAGCATTCGAGAATAATTTTGCCTCCAGTGTACCTAAAGATCAGGAAGGTAATTATTTTTCCCCTATCGATGTGAACTTAAACTTGTCACAAAACCACAGCTCAAATAGTTTGGAAATTTTTCCTAATGTGGAACCAGCAATTGACTTGGTTATGTTGGGAGACGATAGCGGTGGAGAATACGAGCATGAGGAGAATTCTCTCGGCTCATATTCCAATGATGGTGCTAAATCCATTTCGAGTTCTTTTTTAAACTTGGTCAACGACTCCGAAGTGGACTCAGCTGCCTCTGATGAGATCCTACTGTCGCGGAATGTATTTTCCACCACCACGACTGAAATTAACACATCTAACAGCAATGAAGTTCTTGCCGAAAAACAGCAGAGTGACACGCCTCGGATGGTCGACAAAAAATCCCGAGGTCGTCTGCAGAGAAAATATTCTGGTCCTTTGGAAATAAGTGAATCTCAAACTAAAATCGTATTTCCATCGTTACTTTTCGATACGCCTGCTACAGAGGATGATATTCTACCTCTTTACCGCAAGGCAATGAGCGAGTCTAATATATTTGCGAAGGATAATTCGAGTGTAGAGAGACGAAAACTGATCGCGTCGAAAAATTTCGAAAATTATTTTTGCAAAAGTGCACAGCCACGTTTTGATGAATACCCTAAGAAAGACAACTCTAACACTGTAAACATAAGATGTTCACAGACGCAACACAGCGAAGTTAACCCTTTTTCTTGGGATATCCAAGAATTTCGCAAAAGAAAGGTAAACATTAAATAATAAGCTCTATGTTCTTACAAAATCATTTGCCTTTCGTAGGATTTCCACAAGTCAAATATGGTAGGTATTGATTGCGTAACTAAAATTTGTAGGTGATCTTTGTTATGTCTCGGGCCAGAATGTGCGGCATCATGAGAAATTTCGAGATAATAATAATACAGGTTTTTTGTCTCTTCTCTTCTAGAATATCTAAAATTATTTGTCAACACAAACTGAAAAGGACGATGAGCACGTAAAATTTTGCGTCTTCTTCATTGTCCCTATTACAAATGTTTTTGCTCACGTCTATTTGTACAGCATGGAGACCGCAAGGCTAGTATTTATTCATGCGAGTTGAAGCGTTGCTTACGAACGTAATTCTTAATTGCAGGAGGCCCGACAACTGAAGGCAGGTGATGACATCACTCACACGGAGGGCTCGCAGAAGATGGGCGCGAGTGTGCGCGTCACGGGCCAGGACTTCAGCTCCCACAAGTCGGCGGTGTCGGAGGCACAGCAGCGGCGCACCGTCACCCCAGCGGGAACCATCAGCGCCGAGAACTCCAGGAAGCTCTCCAAGTCTGGCCTCACCATCACCACCAAGGGCGTTTGCACCAAGCAGAGTTCCTCGATGTCTAGTTCTGAGGTTTGTTTATTTGAGGAAAATGCGCCGGGTTGACACCTGATTTATATCACTCTAGTCGTCAAGCTTTCGTTCTATCGTGGGTTTAAGGATTTTTTGTCTTGTTGAAATTTTGTTAAAAAACGCTCAAATTTAAATGTTTAATACACTAATTGAGTGAGTCGATTCCTATTTACGGCACTGGTTTGAGTCGAGGAGAAATTTATATGCTTGTATCTTTTTTAAATACCTCTGTTTCAATTTATCAATTATCGGAATGGGTACTTAGCCATCAAAAACATATTTCTTTGCACTTTAAACACAAAATTTTTATTATTTTTTTCGCCTGTTGCAGAGCAACATCAGTGTGAGTGGTTTCGAGGACTTTGACCTAGGCGGTGCCATGCAGCCCATGGATGTCCAAAATGCCATCATGAAATACTCGGGCGTTATGACAAAATTCGTAGACCAGCTGAAGACAATGTCGCTAGATGGCGTCGTAAAGGCCGCCCCCACGCTGCTCGACCATATGAACGACATGATGAAGCGTGCCTGGTCCGTGCCCACATATGGACATGAACTCGGCTACTCACTCTGCAATGTACTCAAAAACAACGGAGGCTTGGATATCTTACTGGAAAATTGCACGTCGAAGGATTCCAAGTTAAAGTTCTCCTCGGCTAAAGTTTTAGAGCAGTGCTTGACAACCGAAAATCGAGGTTACGTTGTTGAAAAGGGGTTGGAAAATGTGGTAAATGTTGCATGTGATTGCACGCAAGACAATCGATCAATGGAACAGTCGAGGGTAGGAACCGGCATCTTGGAGCATTTGTTTAAGCACAGCGAAGGCACTTGTTCTGACATCATCAGGATGGGCGGCTTGGAGGCTGTTGTTAGAGAATGTCGAAAGAAAGATGTTGAAACTCTCCGTCACTGTGCCGGAGCCTTGGCCAACCTTTCGCTTTATGGTGGCTCGGAGAACCAGCAAGCAATGGTTCAGCGACAAGTTGCTATCTGGTTATTCCCTCTCGCGTTCCACGATGACGACAATATAAAGTACTATGCTTGCCTCGCTATAGCAGCTCTCGTGGCGAACGCCGAGATCGAAGCGCAGGTTTTGAAAGCTGATACATTAAGTCTCATTGAGCCTTTCGTTAACAGTCATTTACCGGAAGAATTTGCCAACTCGACTGTGGCTCACAGACACGGTCAGTCTCGGGACTGGCTTGAGCGACTTGTTCCGGTGCTGAGTAGCAAGAGAGAAGAGGCGAGAAATCTGGCAGCCTTCCACTTCTGCATGGAGGCGGGCATTAAGAAGAACCAAGGAAATATTGAAATATTCCGCGAGATAGACGCAATAGAACCTTTGAAAAAAGTAGCCAGTTCACCGAATGCCATCGCTAGCAAATATGCGGCACACGCGCTGCGTCTGATGGGCGAGGAAGTGCCACACAAGCTGTCCCAGCAAGTGCCCTTATGGCAAGCAACTGACGTCCAAGAGTGGGTAAAACAAATCGGATTTAGCCAATACGCTGACGCGTTCATTGCTTCCCGAGTTGACGGTGACTTGTTATTACAAATCGGGGAGGACAATCTAACGTATGACATAGGTATTACCAACGGCATTTTACGACAGCGCTTTTTAAGAGAACTCAAACGGCTTCGGCAAATTACAGACTATAGCTCCAAGGACCCCACCGGCCTCAATTCTTTTATGCTACAGCTCGGTCCTGAGTTCGCTGAGTACACATACAAGATGCTCCTCTCGGGTGCCACAAAGAATACTTTAAGGTTAGTATAAGGTTATATTCCTCTGATTTTAATTTAAATGTATTTTCATCATTGTGTTGTCCTCGCTTGCTGATTTCATCATATTTATATGTGAGAGTATAATAATGTTCTAGCTGTGCTCGTAAGCAGTGATTGTTTCATACCCGTTAGAAATATTTAAACTAACGACTTTAGCTGCAGCATTTTTTTAGCTCAATCGTATTGCGTTCATTTTGTTCTCTTGCGCTCAATAATTTTGTATGTACACGCAGGTTCCTGACGGATGAGCAGCTTGCGTCAGAGTGCGGCATTGTGAATAGCATCCACAGACAGCGATTAAAAGAAGGCGTTATAGGTGAGTTTGTGGGAAGCTGGCGAAACTGAAGGTTGTAAAATCTCATTTTTCTACCATCTTCTGATATCGAAAATTCCTAATTTTTCTCTCTTACTAAGCTCATTTTTAACGTATTTCGGGAATGTCTTTAGCATCTTTGAACTATCATTATGTCTACCAACAAATGTTCTTGTAGTAATAATTATAAGAAAATTTATGATTACAACAATCATCATCGTAATTAGGAATCTATGCATCTCCTGCTAATTGTAATGGGAAATTATATTTTTTACTAACAAGCATCTACAGCTTTCCGACCAAAGCCAGAACTTGTTGCTCTCAATTTATTGGACAACCATCCATTGTTTCTGTCATTAAAACGCCACGAAACCAAAATTCATGTACATGATGTTTCCGGTTTCTCGCACGCTTTCCATGGAATTTAGTGTACGAGAAGTGCAGAAAGATCGTAAAGAATAAAAAAAGTAAGTATTCAAGAGTTATTAATTTATTAGTTTAAAAGATAAGGCAAAATTATAAAGTCATTTGATTGACATAAATCCGAATTAGTGATGTGGTTAGTGAAGCCATATCAACCATTGACGATTCTCCTCACGAAAGCGTTTTTTTCTTGTGCATTGCTCTCGTATTTGTTTTTACGTGTCGAAGAATTCAATGTTCATGCCTCATACCTACCATACCGTACGTATTGTAATACCTCATACCTACCATACCGTACGTATTGTAATACCTCATACCTACAATACCGTACGTATTGTAATACCTCATACCTACCATACCGTACGTACTGTAATAGCTCATGCCAATTGTTCACAGATGAGGCGAGCACTCTGCAAGACTCCACTCAGCTCGACAAAACATTGGATGTGTTCATCAGCTACAGGCGCTCCAACGGATCTCAGCTTGCTAGGTAACTTGCGCTTGTTTGGACAAAGTTATATAATCCTGATTGATGTTAAATTGTATTGCTCTCTGAGTAAAATCTCGTTTTTTTACCACCTTTCTGACATCGAAATTTTCATTTTTTCTCTTAATAAACTATATTTTTTACGTATTTGAGATTTATGCCTACCAATACTTCGCTGACTAAAGCAAAATCGTTTTCGAGAATGCATTCAGTGACTAACACTTGGTAACTACAAAATTTATATTCCTCCCATTTGATCCGGGTCATGAGATTTACGTATCTTATCGTATTTAATCCTCTTCGCTGTAATGACATTACCTTCCTTTATTTCATTTCAACACATTACTGAAAGTACGCATCCTTTTCACGGCAATCTCACAACTTCCATCAATTTCGTGTCCCCACCTTGCTGAAAGTACACATCCTTTTCATAGCAATTTCATAACTTTCATTAACTTTGTATCCCCAGATTGTCGAAAGTACACATCCTTTTCACGGCAACCTCATAACTTTCATTATTAACTTCGTATCCCCAGTTTCTTGAAAGTACACACTCTTTTCACGGCAACCTCATAACTTTCATTAACTTCGTATCCCCAGTTTCTTGAAAGTTAGTTTCTTGAAAGTACACACTCTTTTCACGGCAACCGCATAACTTTCATTAACTTCGTATCCCCAGTTTCTTGAAAGTACACACTCTTTTCACGGTAACCTCATAATTTTCATCAATTTCGTATCCCCAGCTTGCTGAAAGTACACACTCTTTTCACGGCAATGTCATAAATTTCAGCATCTTCGTATCCCCAGCTTGTTGAAAGTACACATCATTTTCACGGCAACCTCATAGTTTTCATCATCTTCGTATCCCCAGCTTGCTGAAAGTAAAGTACGCATCCTTTTCACGGCAATCTCATAACTTTCATTTTCGTATCCCCAGCTTGCTGAAAATGCACATCCATCTCACGACAATCTCATAACTTTCCTTTTCGTATCCCCAGCTTGCTGAAAGTGCACATCCATTTCACGGCAATCTCATAACTTTCATTTTCGTATCCCCAGCTTGCTGAAAGTACACATCATTTTCACGGCAATTTCATAACTTTCATCAATTTCGTGTCCCCAGCTTGCTGAAAGTACACATCCTTTTCATAGCAATTTCATAACTTTCATTAACTTTGTATCCCCAGATTGTCGAAAGTACACATCCTTTTCACTGCAATCTCATAACTTTCATCAATTTCGTGTCCCCAGCTTGCTGAAAGTACACATGCAGCTCAAGGGCTTCTCAGTCTTCATCGACGTGGAGCGTCTCGAGGCTGGCAAGTTCGATAACAACCTCCTGGGCTCCATTAGGCAGGCACGCAACTTCTTGTTGGTGCTCACCCCCAGCGCCCTGGACAGATGCTTGGGCGACCACGACTGCAAAGACTGGGTCCATAAGGTAACAAAATCGTTGCTGATAGTGCTGGAATTTTATTCGTTAAACCATTTGGAATGCTTGTTTGATAATGCTCGGGCAAGAATTTATACATTCAACCATAAGGAATACTTTGGAGAAATTATTAGGAATCCTTAATTTATTAAGAAATTAAAAGGAATATTTACTTAATACATACTTACCTTACCTATTAGATGTGACGTAGCTCGGGCCATATTTTTTTTGTTAACCACAAGGAGCGCTTGCTTTGGCCGAGAAACGCTTGGCCGAGGTACTCGTACCTATTTTCTAAACCTTTTACTCGTTTCATTTCGTTGACAAAAATCGACTTCGAAGCTGATTTTGAGACTTCCGCATTTATTGAATCTATTTTGCCCTAAGTTTACCTAATCTGTAATTTCGGTGTGCAGGAAATCGTAGCGGCGCTGGACTCAGGCTGTAATATCATCCCAATCATCGATAACTTCCACTGGCCGGAGCCTGAGCAGCTGCCCGACGACATGCGTGCCGTGTGTTACTTCAACGGCGTCAGGTGAGATCATGTCAAACTTATTGCTCTGCGAATATCAAGTTAATTTAATTAAAGTGATTTGGTACCTAAGAACTGCAAGGAAATAAATTTTCTTTATTAGCTTACCTTACCTTCAAGCTTCAACCAAATGCTTGTTTCCTTATGGTTCTCATTAGTAGCGTACACTTAGACTCATAGAAATAAATGGAGCGTTTTACAAGTTGCGATGGACTTTTTCCCTTGTGCTGGTCGGTTTAAGCAAGTTTGGCCCGGCAAAATGCATATAAGTGCTGCGTCCGCTCACAGAACGTTCTGTGGGTAATTATTTAGGGTGTTACTATTCGGACAATATTAACCCATTTATTTATGAGTGTAGTTTAAATTTCGTTGCTCCGGCGGCAGTCGAAAATAATGAGGCAGAACCAGCTAATTTTCTCACTCAATCTTCATTTTCCGTTTTACAACACCAATAGCCGCTCACTCGTATTATATTCCCGCCTTTCCCATTACCCATGAGTTTTGTATGATGTTTGTTGAGACACACTCGTGCATTATTCATTGTTCTTAATTTCCCACAACCACGCCCTCACTCATTATTCTTCATTTTCCATCATCCACACCACGCACTCACTCATTATTCTTCATTTTCACGACCCACACCACGCACTCACGCATTATTCTTCATTTTCACGACCCACACCACGCACTCACGCCCTCACCACCACTCATTATTCATCATTTTTCATGACCCACAACCACGCACTCACTCATTATTATTTATTTTCCATCACCCTCACCACGCACCCACACATTATTCTTTATTCTTCATCACCCACAGCACGCACTCACTCATTATTCTTTATTCTTCATCATCCACACCACGCACTCACTCATTATTCTTTATTCTTCATCATCCACACCACGCACTCACTCATTATTCTTTATTCTTCATCACCCACACCACTCACTCACTCATTATTCTTTATTCTTCATCACCCACACCACGCACTCACTCATTATTCTTTATTCTTCATCACCCACACCACGCACTCACTCATTATTCTTTATTCTTCGTCACCCACACCACGCACTCACTCATTATTCTTTATTCTTCATCACCCACACCACGCACTCACACATTATTATTTATTTTCCATCACCCACACCACGCACTCACTCATTATTATTTATTTTCCATCACCCACAACCACGCACTCACTCATTATTATTTATTTTCCATCACCCTCACCACGCACCCACTCATTATTATTTATTTTTCATTACCCACAACCACGCACTCACTCATTATTATTTTTTTTTCATCACTCACAACCACGCACTCACTCATTATTATTTATTTTCCATCACCCACACCACGCACTCATACGTTATTATTTAGTTTCCATGACCCACACCACGCACTCACGCCCTCCAACCCCAACAGATGGATCCACGACTACCAGGATGCGTGCGTAGACAAGTTGGAGCGCTTCATGCGGGGCGAGGGCAGCCTGCGCGGCGAACCTCCGGGCTCCCTCGGCCGCTACCAGTCCACGACGATGCTCACGCAGCCCGGTTAGTTGTCATACATCTTCAACTAATAGTCTTTGGAAAACTTGATACATTAATAGTTGAATTGACTGGTTGGTTTCATACATCTTCAACTAATATTCTTTGGAGAACTTGATACATTAATAGTTGAATTAACTGGGTAGTTTGTAATGTCAATATTAGAGTCGGCATAGAATTTTTTCATCCGCGCGGCCGGTTAGTTATCATACATCTTCAACTAATATTCTTGAGAAAACTTGATAAATTATTAATTGAATTAACTAAGTAGTTTGTAATGTCAATATTAAAGTCAGCATTGAATCTTTTTTATCCGCGTGGTCTTATTTATTACATTTTACCACCCTGCGCCATGTTCGCTTAATATTTAATGTATTTTTTTTATGTGGAATCTTCTTCTTCAGTCGTTCTTTTCTCGGTACCTCAAGCCCGCTGATTATTTGGCTACTCACGTACGAATGAGATGTTTTGTTGCACTTTTTTATTGCGAACTCTACTTACTTGGTGTCTATTCTTACCCCGCCTCTAAGTGCACCTGTTTTATCATGACTCATATTATGACCCCTCCAAGTGCACCTGTTTTATCATGACTTATATTATGACACCTCCAAGTGCACCTGTTTTATCATGACTTATATTATGACCCCTCCAAGTGCACCTGTTTTATCATGACTCATATTATGACCCCTCCAAGTGCACCTGTTTTATCATGACTTATATTATGACACCTCCAAGTGCACATGTTCTATCATGACTTATATTATGATACCTCCAAGTGCACCTGCTTTATTGTGACACAATCTAAATACAATTAAAATAAATTGTGGGCGTTGCAGGCACTCCGTCCCCCCTGCCGCGAGTTCAGCCTGTGTACCAACGCACGACCAGCACAGAGTCCGGCAAGGGGTCTTCCTGCTCCGACAAGGACTTCACTGGCAAAGATTGACGGGGCGAACCTGCACTGAACGCGAGGCTACCACACAAGAGGTGAGGCGAGCGACGGTTTAATCCTTATATTATGTTATGATATAGTGGAGTATAGTAGAATAAAAGTGATCACTAAACAGGTGGCGAGTATCCATGCTCATGAGAATGTGGCGAAATCGGGGCACATTTGATCACTGAATTTGGAGATAAGGGAAGATATTTCCTGATATGATGATTTAACATATTAATGATTTCCAGCCCAACATATCGGGTTATTATTATTATCTTACTATCATTCACTGTTATGATTATAATCATATTGTTTAACAGAGCGATAGTCCCACCTGGCAGCCCCCGGTCGGGCTCCCCTAAGCGGTGGGGAGCTGGAGGAAGCAGCCCGATCTTGCCCGCCAGATCACACCACATCGGCCGGAGCATCCTTGCTGGTATTATATATTTCTCTTGAGTTGAGCCTAAAATTACACGTGTAATTATATCTTCGATTTACGCATAAACTTATCTTGAATTTTCCATTTTCGAGAGCATAGCTAGTATTTGCTCGTTGAATGTTCTCATGAAAAATTCCCACTCGTTGGTTATTCTTGGAATTAAACTCACATTCGCATAATTTCTAGGCGCTGCCGTGATTCCGCCTACTCGCGGGTCGCCCATGCCATCTCGGCCGCCGCACTTGCCTCACCCTCGCTCTCGCAGCCTCGACACAGCCCTCGACAAAGCCACGGGCGCCGCGCCCGTCGCTGCCGACTCGATGCCGCAGTGTAGTTCAGTTGCAGGTTCTCTTGCCGGATCCCTGACCGGCTCAGTTACAGGATCATTCACGGATTCTACGATCCCCGATTCAGTCCCCGCGTCGATTACAGACTCGGTGGCTGAAGTCACTCTTCCCAGCGACACGGACGCTTCTGACTCAGGAATATCTAACAAGTGTTCTTCAAAGCTGAACGCTGAGTCTCGCAGAGACTCTAAAGGAAAAGATTCATCTAATACCAAGCATTCGGCTGCTATTCGGGCGAAAGAAAGCAACTCGAAAAACAGCTTCCGACGCGCTCACGGAAGCTCGACTGGTTCGAAAGAAGATATTAGACTAAGTGGAAGGCTTAAAAATAGAAGTGGGAAGCACACGTCGAGCGTCTCATCTGATAAAGGCAGACTAACCCCTGATTTCAAAGCAACTCCCAAATCTTCGCTTCCCAAAGAAGATGATTCGAGGAGAGCGCTAAAAATGAAACCACAAACTCAGGACTCTCCAACTGCTCTCAAATTTGATTCATGTAAGAGTTTATCTAAGAATCAAGAAAAAGAGGATAACACGAAAGATAATAACCCATACGCCAACTTCTTGAAGAAGCGAGTTAACTCTAAAAGTAAATTTTTGGAATCTGACGAGAAAAAACACCTATCATGCCGTGACGGCCGAATTTTAGCAACCAGTATTCTTGCATCCGTACCAGCTGGATCAAAAAAGGAGTATTCAGAGCCAAGAAATCCTTACATCGTTCCGAAGCTCTCAAATATTTGTCGCAAAGAAAGATCGCCCCAGCCTTCATGTTCGTCCAACTCCTCCTCTCCCGTTCCATCGTCCTTCACCAGCGGCTTGCGGTCTCCGTCTCTGATCTCATCTTCGTCCTCGACTTCACTGCCTCAACGTCGCAAAGATTCTGTCTTCTCATTCCCCGCGAAATCGGAGTCATCTTTTGATAATAACAAACAAACTGAGAGTCTTCTTTCTTCCCAGCCTCACAGCTTCATTCCAAACACTGCAGACTCGCGAAATAGCCTCTCACCTCGTGCGCCCCATCGAACACACACTTTGGAGAATCCTCCTAAGCCTATCACTTTTCCAAAGCCAAAAGAAACCTCATCTAGTCCTTTCGAGGCATTGTCGGTTAAACCCGTAACTAAACGCGTTAAAGAAATTGATCTCCACAAAGAGGGCAGCCATATTGACTTAGTAGCTTCTTGTGAGCAGTATTTGGAGGACGAACGCAAGACAGCTTCAGAAGACGAAAGCACCTTGGCCAGCACGCGGCGATCTTCCATCAGCTCCATTGGCAGCTCGAACGGTCGGAGGAGAAGACGCCTCAGCAGCATTCCGCTCGATGACGAACTGACGATAACTGAGGAGGATAATTTCTCCACTGATATCTCGAGGCAATCTCCAACCAAGTCAGCTTCAGATACTTCACACGAAATGGCGTTATTTGCTACCATTGCAGCTCTTACTCATAACGACTGGTCTACGGACCGGACAGATGATGCTGATAGCTGCGGGGAGTATGAAGGATGTTCTCCTTCTGCAACCAAAGCCAATCAAAACCTGATCTCAACTCCTCAATCAGCGACCAACCCAACCCCTGGTGCAACAACGAAACCGAACTCGGTCGTCCCCGCAGTTTCTCCATCATCACCTAATCGGTCGAGCGGTCACAGCCCCTCCGTTAAAGCAGCTACTATGCAACGTTCGAGCTCCTCCGACTCTTCTTCCTTACTGGATAGATATGTCAATAAAGTGAAAACTTTCATCAAGAAGTAAAATTCACAATGTGTTCGTTATCCTGAAATATAGTATATTTATTTATGTTAGGTGACCTGTTACGAAGTTGATCCGTCCTACCGCTGGTCTTCTAATTATAAATAGGCTTGACTTTTATGTTACTTATCTGTGCTGTAAAAAACCATGGGAATATTTCTTCGGTCAAGTAGCCTTAAATCCGGAATAGGCGCTGTAGAAATTATGAAATTATTTTTATGCATTAATAGCTTCTTCATATTTTACAAATTTTATTCATATTTAGGCACTACTTTCGTCCATATTTTGTAGATTCTCCTAGCTTTAGGTTTAGCAGTGTGACTCGTTGGAGCGCTTTTATGAACTTGAAGCCGCTCGTTCCCGCTTCAAGCTTTATTATTGATATTTATGTGCCGGTGTTGCCTTATAATGCCTTGCTGGGAGGTTCTTGTTTTTATTCGACTCATAGGTTTGATAATTAGTCACTTATGTTAGCGTATTTTCTAATGCTCGACGTGTTTGTGAGCTGTAATTTTGTATATCTGAAAACTTTAATTTTAGCTATATCAAACTCTTTTATTGTTAATATTTTATACAATGTATTGAAAATGTGTCCGCTAATAGTGCTGCTATTTTGCCTCGAGTAAAGAGATTATGTGCACTTTGTTTTTCACCTTTCCTATCCAAGAACATTTGAATAATATATTGCCGTGAAAATTTTCTCCTACCTATTACAACCCACTGTTAACAGACGGCAAGTCTGTATAGGGTATAGCCATGTTGTATATACATTTTATAAATATAGCTATATTTTCGATGAGAACAGTTTCAGGAAATGATACCGTATAGAAGGAGTTGTTTGATGTTGAGTTCTCTCGAAAGTTCTCCTGAATTTCGTCCTTCCGTCAGTAATAACGCAACACTTTTTCGAATCCCGCTTTGATTATCTAAAAGAATTAGTGGGGATTTAAGATCAATATACATTACAAATCCATAAAATATTAGTCAAACTGTCATGGACCAAATCAGACAGGACTGTTCTGGTGAAAAATATTCATTTGCGTTACGAATACTAAACCATATTTAAAATTGTTCGAAGATTCCACATAGGAGACACAAAACTGGCTGGAGGCAGCCGAGCGGTGTCTCGCAGCACCTCGAGGGCTTCTCGAGACGTCAGAGTAGCCTGATCCTCTGAGTCTTGACGACAGCTTTTAAATAGCTATGTTAAAAATCTGGTTAAAGCGACTTGAGCATTAACCGAAGCCTGAGAGTGAAGTATAGAGGCTACATTTTTCTCTCTCAGACGTCGTGGAGGAGTCGTTGCGGAAGGGTCGAATGCTCAGCTAAACTTTCTCATTGTTATCTTTATGAAGTACAAATAAAATTCGGTCATTTTTGAGATAATAAACCAATTTACAATACGTGTCGCAAGATCCTGGTTTGAGCTTTCATTGAAGTTGAACATTAACAGGAGATTGTCTAACACCGTCAGCTATGGCTGGGAGGTGTAAAGTTTACAAGAAGACTGCGCCCAACAGTAAGTTTCCCCACTGAATTTAACTGCAAATATCATTAAAATTTACTCTTATTTAACTAATACGTTGTTTTATTTACATCCTTTGGAAGATGATGTTTGCATAAAGATAGCATTAGCGTATTTTGGATGTTATCCATTGCAATGCATGATATAAAACTGAAATTTATCCTCTATATTATTATCGAATAAACCATAGAAATTATTTTCAATCGAACAAGTATCAGTATAAAAAGAAGTAAACGAAAATTAGATCGAAAATGAGAATAAGGCCCAAAGTTAGAAATGTCAATACGCTGTACGGAAATGACAATAAAAATTATGTGTTTCTTACTTACCCAAATTTGCATTAAGTTATACGTTATACCTATTCTAACCTATTAATTTACGTCATTAATGATTTCTGCAGACAGCATGACAGTCTACCTGACTCATCGAGATTTTCTAGAAGACCAGGGACGTCGTCTGGTGCCTGTCGCAGGTGAACGATGTCTCAATAACCATATTAATCAATTATTAATAAAAAAAACGTAAAAATGTTGATGTAACAAATTGGTGCCTTTCGCAGGTGAACGATGCAATTAGAAATGGACTTCTCCGCACACACTAAATGTCACCAAATTAGTCAATTATTTTTAATAAAAACCCTTAAGGAATGTTAATGTAAGAAATTGGTGCCTGTTGCAGGTGAAACAAATGCTTCAATTACCATTATTTCAACCGTACATTTTTATTCACAAATCTGCTCAACCATAAGCAGAAGTTCCCCATAAATCAATTTACTGGAAGCTTCTCAGCTTAAGAAAATCTGGCCAGTTAAATATAACTATTCCCCAATGGAAAATATTTCATCTCTGATAGTCATTTAAAATGATGTTACTTTTTAATCGAATTGGCCCGGACGACTTGAGAAACTGTTGAGCAAAATTTTTATAGTTTATGCTACTAAAAATCATATCATATATATCACTGTTATTAGCTCATCAGAATTGAGTTGACGGCAATGTATGTTAGCGCAAAACTTTTTAGAAACCGTTGACGCCTTTTCCGCAATTTATGTTGTGCGGAAAAGGTCTCAATATATTCAATTCGTTATGAACAAAACTCGCGAAAGCTATGCCAGCCAAAATGTCATTTACGGCATTTTTAAATAAGGTGCAACATATTAATGCCAACCCAGTAAAGTTGAAGCTGTAAATTTTTCATTTTCTATTCATATGTGTACCGATCACGAACGAAAATATTAATTAATCATAAATAGATAATATTTACTGAATTACTCAAATTTTAATTTCATTGTTCCCCGTTGCCGAGATTATAACTCGTCTATTGTCAATGTAGTGCATCAGTTATCAGCTTCATTGTAAAAATTCCATACAAAAAAAACTAACATGGGCAAAAGTAGCCCATTAGCCCACATTCTTGTAGTATACATGTAAGTAGCCCACATTCTTGTATATTCCATATTTCATGATGATAAACTGAAAGTTTCCACGCTAACAGGTGTTGTAGAATTTTCGGAAGAGCAGCTCCGCGGTGAGAAGCTCTTCTGCCTCGTGAACTTGACGTACCGCTACGGCAGAACTGCGGACGAGACGATGGCTCATACTTTCCACAGGACTGTGCAGCTCATCAACGCGCCTCTAAATCTCGACGTGGGTGATGAGAGAAGAGATGATAGCAAACAATGCGAGCAATACCCAAGAGGTGAAGTTTACGGTCAAGGAGTACTACCAAAAATTCTCAATTATGATGAAGGAAAAGAGATGGAATTAAACACAGTAGTCATCCCGGAAATATTAATAAAAAAGAAAGAATCTAATTTTACCAGAGAACAAGCTGATTTAAATGCACGAGAACAACCTAAAACGGTATCTTCCCAAGAACTTACACAAGATGACAACAAAGAAGCTGAGTCGACTTCCAACAGCCCAGTACCTGGAAGTAAGGGCGACAGTATCTTGCCAACAAAGAAGCTTACCAGCAAGCCTTCAAGTAGATCCTCATCCCGCTTGTCTGACAAGAAAAATGTAAAAGATAACCAAGAAGGTGATCCTCGAGACATCAATACAGCTACACGAGCTGCAACGAACGATACTGAAGTAAATGAAGGAGAAACCAAAAGCAGTAGTTGTGATATAGTAAACACAAGCAAAACAGAAGATGAGAACAATTATTTGGAAGAGTCAAACGTCATTGAAGATCAATCGCTTGAAGCTACCAAACAGGCTATTCAGGCGAACTGTGATGAATTTCGTCAGCAAAACCAGACACAGATGAATGATTATAAAAACGTTGATCAGTCAGAGATAGCTGCCGCTGATGAAATGGTTGATTATAAATCCGAAAGTCTTGACACAAATGCCCAGGAAGCAGATACATTGACCGATTGCAAATCAGTGGATCTGAAGGAGTTCAGTGAGGTGACACCGAACGAAGGTGAAATAAAAACATTGGACGGAAAATCCGCTAACCTCGAAGACAAAATGAAAGGCAACGAAATTGATGAAGAAGGATCGCGAGACAAAGAATGTTTGAAAGCTTCCAATAAATCAATTGACGATTGCCTCAATTTGGATAAAAGCACTGCTGAAAACATTGACAATATGACGGCTAAAAAAGACACACCGGAACAGGTACAAAACGAAGGACCTGTGACAGCAAATTCAGCAAACGGCGAAGAGAAATCTAATGACGAATCCACTGATGAAAATGTGAGCAGTAATGAAATTACAAACGTGAATCAAATAAGTGAAATGACTGAACTTTCTCCGATAGCGGACGAGTTGGCAGAAGTGGGGGAATCTGCAGCTAAAGCTTCAGGAGGATCCGGAGTTAGGGAAGAAGAAGGTATTGGAGAAGGAACAGAGGAGATCAAGCCTGCTACACCTTGTACAGAATGCGAAACTGTTAAAGAAAACTTAACAGTGGCAAAAACTCAGATAGAATCTGAAGCTTCCAACCAAAATGCCATTGACGACGATAAAGGTAATTGTGACAGTGAAAATGGTACGATAAATGTGAACGCTGTTTTAAAAGAACCTAACTCCATAGAACATGACTGTAGCCCTGTAGGTCAACTAAATGTTGATTATCAACCAGGTACTCCGGAACGAATCAAAACCCCTACAGGTGCGATGGATAATGACGGAGAAATCGATAAGAAGGAAGCTAATGGAAGTATGAACAACGAAATAGAAGAATTGGATGACAATTGTGAAACAAAAACAAGCGCGAATGACGAAATAATAGAAATGGAGGATACGAATAATGCCAATCCGGGCTTTAACGACGAAACAAAAGTCTTGAATGATAAGGATGGAGACAGTACGGTTGCTGCTGACGAAATCAAAAAATTAAATGACGTGGAGGAAGACAATGAAGGAGCTTTTGCCAAAACAGAAAACTTGGATGATGTCGTCAATGCAATTTCTGATGATATTGATCGAGGTTTCGAGCATGAAGAAGCAGGCGATGACACGACACGAATGGCAGAGCACCGAAGTTTTGTCACTGGAAACCATCCATTGGAGGACAAAATCCTGCGTTCACGACGCCACTACTTGCTGCCAGTGCCATCACCTCAGCAGCTGAGGCTCCTGACGTCGCATCCTAACTGCCGCCTGCCTGACGCTTTCCCAACGCGTGAGTTTAGGTTTGGAATTATTTTTATTTGGAATTCCTAAAGAATATATGTTATCGTAGCTGAAAGGAGAAACGATATTATATCACTGCCTGAATATCATGTCTTGGGTGATTAACACAGCAAGCAGTTATTATTATTATTTTTTGTAGGCTAATGACATTCATGCTTTACTCCTATTACATACGGGACATACTCGTATCGCAACAGTCTCTGGCTGCTGATGTGGAAGGTCAACGTGATTTCATCATCGACTATTACTCCTATTATGATTCGGTCGGAAATAAACTATAATATGTCGTTAATTAAAAAAGAACACTTTTCTAATCAAATATATTATGTACTATTTACTTTCAAACAAATTCAGACATTCATATTATCGAACAGAAATTTCCTCCTAAAAGATAAAATATACATAAATTCATTGCGACATTTTGACTTCTGTGAGAATTTTCACTTAAAACTCTAGCATCACAAATTTGTAACAATTTTATCAATTTTAGTATGCACATGCGTCACTCACTATTATCTTAATTTCAATCTATTCCCAGGAAATGAGCCACGAGAACATGACAATGTCGAGGCGGAAGTCCCCCCGGACACTGGGACAAATGAAAACTCCAAATTAAAAACAGAAGTCGAAGTGGGCAGCGAAAACAGCGTTAAGCCCAGAGCTTCGCACTGCAATAACACTTCCGTCGAAATTTGTCACGACGTGACTCAACTACAAGAACGACTCATCGAGAAACTACAGACCCAACACGACACGAAGACTCGATGCGTTCCTTTCTCTGTCTCGATTCCAGCTGAGGCACCGAACTCTGCAACGCTTGTTCCTGGGCCACGCCGATGGGTGAGAAAAATATGGAAACCAAAGTCTCGATTATAAATTCAATGCATAATTCGGTGTGCAAAATAATGGAAGATGAACGAAGTGGAGAAAAATTTTCGTGCAGGAAATATTTACATTTAGACTTCATCTGCTGTTTTTATTTCCGTAATGAGAAAACGCGAGAGATGTATATATGGGGGTACACACAGTACACACTGGAAAATTCGAATATATTGTTAGAAATTTTTGATACATAACATTTCCATGTACAAAACAGTGAGTGATTAACAAAATTTTGTTCGAATGCTGGCTTATGCAAAATATATGTTTAGCTCCAACTCCTAATTTATTATGTTCCAGTGCCTTGAAAATTTCTAGTGATTCATTTTCAATTTTCCCATTCTCAATTCTCTATATCAATCATAGTCTTAGGCGTAGACTGAGAAAATTGCATCCAGTGTTGCTACTAGATGAACATTAAGAATAAGAGCGAAGTGAAAAAATGCTGATTTGTACGTTAATCATTTTTACTATAGTTATTTTTTCATTCATGTGAGGAAGAATTTTATCTCGAACAATGTTTTGTCAAACCACATCATGCTGAGTGATATTTTATTCTATAGCCAGGTGAGCCAGTCGGAGTGATCTACGAGCTGCAGGTGTACGCAGCGAACGAGGTATGTGAAGAACCCGCACGTTACAAAACCACTTCATTCGCAGTTCGAAAACATCAACTGACGCCTCACGGATTTATATCTAATAGCAGGAGTCGTGCAATTTCTTCCAAAACCTTTCAGTGTTCACCAGGAGAGATTGAGCTCAGCGTTTCCTTAAACAAGTCAATTTACGTATTTTCTGAAGAAATCGAAGCAACAGTGAACTTCCATAATAAATCAAAGAAAACTGTGAAGGGCATTTGCAGCGAAGTGATACAAAAGATTAGCATTGGGATGACTCACACGACATTTGCACGCACCGTAACAACCCTGGAGTCTCGAGAAGGCTGCCCTGTTCTGCCGAACTATAAAATAGAAAGAAAATTCAAGCTCATTCCCGACGTGCGCTACAACAAAGCCAATGAAGGTGCAGCGCTGCTTGGTAATCTAAAGGACGCCGACTGCCTGCTAGCACCGACAACTTTACACCTAACTGAAAACTCTTTGGATCGTGAGATGGGTCTGATTGTGACGTACTTTGTTCGCGTGTCCTTGACATTCGGACACTTGAGTGAATCTGTATGCCTTGAACATCCCATTCAGCTAGTGCAGGCCCGGCCTCCTGAGTATATTGTTCCAGTTACAAAGACGAACATAGGAAAAATGCTTAAGGATATCAGCAATCCTAACAAAATCTGCATTGAAGAGTTTGCAGTGCTCAGGAAGTTAAGGTCTCTGGACAAAAATATTGAAGAATGACATCATTCGATGAATTACCTCATCTGAATTAATTGTTGTAGAATTAAAATAAATACGGAAGGTTGAAAGCCAAATTAAGTTTCAAAAGTGGGAAAAATCTCACGACGACGTCCGAGAGCGATTATTTTAAGTCCAAAATATGCAAAGGTACATCAATGTGACCTAAATAACCAGTCCCTGTGCAGTGAAACATGGAATAATTGTTAAAATGTGTGTTAAGCCGGTAGGAATGGACAATACAAAGATCGTTCTCAAACCATTTTACTCAAATCTTATTCGCTGAAAATTTTTTCGACTATATATATTATATTCCGTAAATTTTGAGTATATTTGTTCCATTCAGAAACTCCCTGGCGCTTTCCTAGTATTAGAAATATATAGAACACAGCGCAATATAGAACATGCGCTACAAAATAATGAAGTTAAGAGGCATAATTGCGTAAATTAATGTTTCGATAATCATGATATTTTATTCCAATCATTGTGTTAATTCCGGCGTTTAAACGCTAAAAATATGGGAACTAGAACAACATGAGTAAATATTTTCCTTCAGTTCGATGAAAACTATTTAGTTTAGAGCTTGAATATTACCGCCAACATTAGGGCAGTAATCAAGTTAATCGTGAATATGACTGTTTTAAGCAATACAATTTGATCATATGCCGCAAAAATAGATTTCCTCGGTTAGCAAACAATATAGGTAATCCTATCACATTTTTAGCGTACGATTTTATATTAGTATAATTAGGCAATTAATATCGTAATAAATAAAATGACCTTGTACCTTCATTTATTCAGCAGCCCCTAAGCATTAAACTATGAATGTGAATTGCAATGGTGGTAACTGAACATACTATCTCCACAAAAATTTATGAGCAACATAAGCATAAATTTATTATCAAAACTATTTTTAGAGTTTCCTCTAAGGAACCACTGGTCTTCGAAACAAGAACATTTCTTATAAAAATTTGCTAATTTTCGTTTTTGGTACATAATCGCAAATGTGTTCACCTGATTTGAGAAGTAAGTCTTCAACACAATTAGAGAAATTTGTTTGTGTATTTTGTTTGTGCTCAGTGTTTTATTTCATTTGATAAAAATTATTGTAATTTTCTGGAACTAAAAAGTTAATATTTCATTATAGATGTTCAGAACTTGAATTGAAGTTAATGAGAATTCTACCGTGCCATTTTAGCGTGAGACGTTAGAGGAAATTCTGCACGAAAACTCTTGAAACGGGTTATTATTTAGAAAGAAAATGCAAGTAAATCTTAACTTAAAAATTCGCCGTGCCTTTAAACTAAGCAAAAATTCATGGAATTGCCGTCGGAGGCACCAGTATCGCAAATCTTCAATATATAATTTTAGAACCAACGACGAAAAATCCCTAAATATGAGAGCGAGTGAATTGCATTTCATTTAATGAAATAATTTAGAAAAATTTTTCGTGGCTCCTCACCTTGGTATAAGATGAAAATAAATAAAAGAACAAGTCATGAAAAGATGCTGTTGTTGAATCCTGGTTAAAAAATCCGTAGAGTTTTTAGGAATTGGCCCACCGACTAAGCGCCGCATCGTGTTCTACGAGTGCCGAAAACGCAGGTACCTCTTGACAACTGATCTATTTTGTGTACATTTATTATGATTTGTGAATGAGAAGCGGATAGTTCGAATTGCACTACGTTAATTGAAAAACGACTCAAAGAGAAAATGGCTATTTATTTAGCTACCTGAATTTGACTGTAGCAGGGAGCTCCCGCCTTAAGCGTCGGTCTCTTGTGACCTCGTTTCGAGATGGTTTCAGCTTTACTTACTCTTTCGGTAATCATGTGAGTTTAAGTAAAAAAACTTTATCGGTCCCACTATTCTAACCCGATATCATCATGGCGGCGAATAGTGTAGTCTGAACAACGTTCATAGTCGAGCTCATTCCAGGTTGTCGCAGTGGTTTTTCACCTTGCTAGCATAATATATTATAGTAAGCAATGCGCAATGGAACCTTATTGAGGAACATCCAAAATTTTTATTCCATGAATGCTCTTGAAAAACTTCCCAATTCTGTTTAAGAAAATTTACGACATTCAATTGTATTTTAGTGCTCTAGTTATATGGTCGTCATAGAGTTTAACTAAGTCTGGAATAAACTTTACAAAGTTGGTCACAACTAGATCAAGCATCTGGAACTTTTGCGGATTGGGTCCGACCAACGTTTGTAGATTTAAAATAATATGCGGTTAAAAATTACTTTTTAAAGATAACACTTCTAAAGAATCCAGTCTCTTTGATGTTACACATGTACAATGAATTTCTAATTTTATTTTCATATTAAAAAAATCAATTTCAATTTTTTTAACATATAAAATTTTGGTAAATTTCCAAAATTATTTATGCTGTCAACTGATTCGTGCATTGTCTCTGACTTTATGCAAGTATGCAAAATTTAAGATTGATTGGATAGGTAGAGGTGTGTCAAATATGGATTATAAGATTTGTAGCAGACAAAATTATTTTAATTTTTTTTAATATTGAACATTTTTTTTAATTGTCAAAATTATTTATTCTGTAAATTGATTCATATATGTAGTGTCTCCAACTTTACGCAAGTGTGCAAATTTTCAGGTTGATTGGACAGGTAGAAGTGTGTCAAATACCGATTATAAGATTTGTAGCAGACAAAATTATTTTTACTTTTTTTTAATATTGCAAAAATTGTATTCAATTTTTAAAATTATTTATTCTGTCAATTGATTCTTGTATTGTCTCCAACTTTATGCAAGTGTGGAAAATTTCAGATCGATTGGACAGGTATAAGTTTCTTTAATAACCATTAAAAGATTTGTAGCAGACAGACAAACAAACAACAAGTAGTGAAGTTAAAGAGAAGTGGTGTACAAATAAAATTTTTACAATTTCCAACATTATTCATTCTATCAATTTATTCATGCATTGTCTCCAATTTTATGCAAGTATGTCAAATTTCAGATCTATTGGAGAGGTAGAAGTGTGCTAAATATCGATAGTAAGATTTGTAGCAGGCAAACAAACAAACAACAAGAAGTGAAGTTATAGAGAAGTGTAAAGATATGCGTTTAAAAATTACTTTTTAAAAACAACACTTTTAAAGAATCCAGTGTCATTGATGTTACACGTGTACAATAAATTTCTAATGATATTTTCATACATAAAAAAATTAATTTTCAAAACTTTTTAATATATAAAAATTTTGTAAATTTTCAAAATTATTTATTCTGTCAACTGATTCACGCATTGTCTCCGACTTTATGCAAGTGTGCAAAATTTCAGATCGATTGGACAGGTAGAATTGTGTCAAATATCGATTATAAGATTTGTAGCAGATAAACAAACAACAAGAAGTGAAGTTAAAGAGAAGTGTTGTAAAAACTGGCATTGAACGCGATCGTGTCCATTTCCTGATGTGAATCAATCAACATAAGCTTAATTGACGTATTTTCAGGTGAAAATTGAAATTTTTTAATGTTTATACGTCTACTTAATCACATCTTTTCAATTGAAAAAATAGACATTTGAGGCAAACCTGTTGTTATTAATCCAGAAAATGATCGCCAGTTTCTGACACAAAAATATACCGTTATGTGTTTCGTATAGCTACCGCTCTCACCAAAACACAACATCTGTCATCAATTAGTTCCGACTGAACAAGTTCGTAACATTTATAAAAGAAATGAAGTTTGCTGACACCTTAACAACGTTTAAACAGTTTGCCGTGTATATTTGTCAATGTCGCGGTGAAAAAAAGTTCAGTATCGATTTATCGAGTATATAGATTATTTGTTAATAAGATGAACTTTGAAGAATACAAAAACTGTTTGTTTTGCAATGATGCATCAACGAACTTTGATGGCCTTGGATCCGCACTTGCCATTGTATACATCAACGTGCGTTCACGTATCATTTCTAATAATTATATTATCAAAGGGGACGATAGAGCTACTATTGAGTACCGCACCGGGTCTTCTGTGATGGAAAGATGCAGTCTCAATCATGTTTGGCTGTGGCAGTTGGCTCGGCTTCTACTGAGAAATCCTGGTAAAGCTTAGACGCAGCACGCGTTTTAAGATTCAGTTCGATAAATTTATTCGGGATTTTGAAGTAGCACCTCGAAAGTAGGTAGCACTTTAAGTGGCTGCTCTTGTACCTAGAGCTCACGTCATCGGTTACGGCTCAATCATTGTTGATCCTCTTCTTCGGAGTTTGACAATTGGACGGTTATAAATAGCTGCGGTGGATAGATTAGCAGCATACCATCGTGGTGAAACTTTTATAGCGATAGCTACCCGTGGTACTCTCTCACTTTCTTTAAACTATGACGTCACCTGAGTAAACGATGTTATGAGTTCGTTTCCACTTGAAACCGTTGAAACCTATGCAATAGGTTTTGCATTCCTTAGGCAATTTGTAGTTCCTATTTTGGTCAAAATCGTATTAATTAAGTTTTTGTACTGATGATGGAGCTGGACTCCGATAAGTTTTCATCGCAGACAAAATGAATTTTTTGGCGTTTTCTTTGATTTAAATGCTTAGTTCATATGACAAGTTTCAACGAATCCGTCATTTCCTAATCTAAAGTAGAATTGACTTTGCATGTAAATTTAACAACAACCCACACTTTATCTAACTATGACAATTTGGAATTTATGCAGAATTTGTCACAAATTTTCATAAAACATCGAACGAGTATAAATGCATTGTCCAAACCTTCATTACTGCATTTCTTCTAACAATAATATAATTATTGCTCTGTGAGTCCGACTGAGGAAAGTCTAATTCTCAGCTCGGATTTTTTTTGTAGAAGGCCGTAGACTGATTTTCGGATAGATAAAACATAGAATAAACTTTCATCTAAATGCATTACCTAAATATTGATCGAAAAGAGGGCTAAATAGTTTCCACGTTAAGGGGACCGACTACCCTAAAATTTTCAATTTTGGCGTTTTCCGGTTTTTGAGCTCATCTTAAAGCTGAAATTCTGCTCTTTCCAATGGTACCACTGCCATCGCTGTACGCCAATATTTACGTTCATGACGTCTCTTTAAAGGGAAGCGGGTGGGAGAGTTCTTTAACTAATTAGATATAAAGTAATTAGCTGCTGAAATCTTTGAATATAGTTTCTACTTGAGTTGTGCTGCAGTTACATGCTTGGTCTCATCTTAAAGCTGACATTCTGAGCTTTCCAACGATACTACTGCGATCCATGTACGGCAATATTGACGCACACGGCCGGTTGAAAAGTTCAACTTATTGTCACGGAAAACCTATCTCCTCCTACAGTTTTCAAGCTACAGCAATGAGACATATACCATTCGATTCGTAAAGACCATACCTATCAAACTGAAGAGCACTTTTTTGAATTTCAGTCTGGTTCGTTTTTTATATGGGGGAGAAGGGGGGGGGAGGGTGGAAAAATGAGAAAAATGGGAAAAACGCGCATAAAAAAACTAAGGAAAAAATAAGAAAAGTGCTCATCAAATCGATAGGGATGGTCTTTACAAACCGAATGATACGTGTCTCGATGTTGTAGGATGATATTTGTAGGAGGAGATAGATTTTCTAAAGTACCCCTTTTAAGACGTTTTCTATGAATTTCTCGTTTTCTATAAATTTTTTCGAAAAATTCATAGAAGCAAAATGTTATTGTTTTACATTTTACGTATGTATTACAGTATTTGAAGTTTCATGATGATCGGATAATAACTGTAGAAGTTTTTCCGGAGGGTAGTCGGTCCCCTTAAAATGATTGGATGTGCTATACTGATTTTTAAAATGTGTTCTAAATTCATGTAAAGAAAAGAGCACTTTTTGCCCTCATGTGATGGTGCCCTCATTTTGATGGTGACTTCGAATCTTAATTCCGCATCAAAGGATGGGCAACTCAGACGTCGTCCACCGCATGTAGATTGAGTCTCTATAAACAAAATTAGCGGATCCTCACATACACGACATACATACGACATTCACCAGA